CGTTGTTTATGCTGTATTTGTTGAATATTTTGTTGAATAAACTCTTTTCTGCTTAATTATGATCCAATTGGTTCAAAAAATGTGTTTAAAATGTCATGCATCGATACTTCAAAAGTTGTTCGATCTCGGGATTGAAAAAATATCGGGATTCTGCAGAGCCTGCTCGCATCTTTCCGTTACAGTGTTCTGAGCCTCAGCGTTTTCGCGCTTTACAGATTTGAATCGCAGAAGTATCGTTTCAAAAACAAATTTTGAATGAAGTCAATCTGACAACTGAATATCCCCGACAATGTCCGAAGAATGAACCATTTGAAATTATCCGAAGCTAATAGAAACGAGTGGAACAAGTCTGAAATTTTCCAAACATGAAAAACTTTCTCGTGGGACAGGACAGGAAGGGGGCAATCGTTTTTTTTTTTGGATATCACATGGACTGTGAGAAGATTGAATGACTGCTGAATGATGGAGTTAGCAGACTAGAGCGATGAAGAAATAGACATGAGAAGCGAAAAGACAACGTAAAAGTTGGTCACAGTTGAAGAGAATCAAGGGATGCGGATGCAGACAAAAGATTGTTGATGACTAGTCTGAACGACGGGGAAGAACAGTCTTGTTTACTGTTTTCCCGATTGTTCCATAGCAATAGTAATCATCATCATCATCGAAAACATATGATAATAGCGGTTGGAGGAGCTGGCTGACAGAATGTTCAATGAATCATTCACTGCGTTTGATGTCACTATATATACTACTCTCCATTGTTATTTTTTGCTATCAAACGTATTTATACGAATGAATATATTAAAAATTATTAATCTGATTACGGTTCTCATATTAATGGAATCCAAAAGATATCTTCGTTTCTAAATGCGTGAATGTTTTGCATCTTTTCAAAATGTTTTTCGAACTAACTAATTTTATCAGTTTTGTCTGGCCATTGCGTTTTAAAGTGTTTATAGACGGATGATGTTTTCCTTATGTTTCTGATCACTCAAATTAGTATCGTGATAATACTATAAACAAACGGGTTGTTATGATCGGTTTTATTAACAGTCATTTAAATTGGGTTTATTCTATGTAAATAAATATTCGTTATAATTCTAAAAACAAACAGAATGTTATGGTCATTTTTCTTAGCAGTTATGTAAATTGGTATTATTCCATATAAAGTAATATTCGTACTAATACTAAAAACAAACGGGTTGTTATGGTCGGTTTTATTAACAGCCATGTAAATTGGGAATATTCTATGTAAATAAATATTCGTAATAATTCTAAAAACAAATAGAATGTTATGGTCATTTTTCTCAATAGTTATGTAAATTAGTATTATTCCATATAAAGTAATATTCGTAATAATACTAAAAACAAACGGGCTGTTATAATCGTTTTTCTTTACAGTTACGTAACTTGATATTATTCTATAAATGTATACTACTGACATTTGCTTCCAAGCAGTAAAATTCCTTCATGTGTTAGCAGTTTCATCTTAATTCCGATTCAGGAAACGATTTTAAAAGCGAACCCAACAACAGGAATAATACTGAAAATAGCTACAGTTACATTACTTGCATTAATTACATACTCATATAATAAAATTATATCAAAGGTTAACAATATCAAAGAGTTATGGTGAGTATAAGTACGGTTTTTTATATAGCACAAAAATGATTCATTGTATCGGTAAATAATATTGGAAAGAGTGAATTTATTTGATATTTGTGCGAATTTGAATGTCAATATTAATTTTTGTTGACAATTCGATTCGATTTATTGAACGATTCAATTTTATGCGATTGTTTCATTCTGATTTCCGATATAATCATTTTCTTCAAACAAGTTTGCCGTCGAAGTCTCAGTTCTTTAAAGTTTTTTTTCCGTTTCCTAGAAAGTGTTTATGGAGTGTGATTCACTTCAGTCAATCATCCATTGTGCTTAATTCGTTAATCGATCATCCCTCACCCCGCTCCCCGCTCTTCATTGTTTATGTTTCAGTTCTATTTCCTTCGAGTATCTGACGTATCTTGGTAAATCATCCAAAAAATGCGAGTAATATCAATCGGAAGACCATTTATTCTGTTGTTTAAACTTCAAACGAATAAATGATTGAACGTCATTTGATTGTTGCGAGTTTATTTATTCGCATGCAAGCGAAGAATTTGTACCAGAGAAACGTCAAAGGATATTGATTTAAGCATTATCGAAGCGCATTTAAGCTTTTTTTTGAGTTTTAGTATTGAAGTGATCAATTGCATCGAACGATGGCCACTGCTGCCTCATCGAACTCAAACTCGAAGTCGGCACAGATAGACGATGAAGAATACGAGGCGTTTGAAGCACGTCACATAACGCAACTAGCATCTGCAGCTGTTCCGCAACATTTCTGGAGGAAGCTTTATGAAAAGTTGCTGAATGAAACTTTTGACGCTGGAAAATTCTTTCAAATTGTGGCCGAAGAAAGTGAGGACGGCACTCGAACCTATTCGGTGATCACNTTGGCTGATCTGAAGGCTGATGATCCGAATAAGTTGGTTTTTTAATTGTTTATTACTAATGTTATTACGAATATTGTTATTATTATTGTTATTAGATCGTAGGAATGATTGAGTATTGCATCTGTTTTTTATATTTTCAACAGGATTCATGCCGTAAAAATGAGATCGTGAAGAAAGTCATTCATATCTGTCAGAATCATGGAAATTTCAGTATATTTTTGATCGATCATGCGTGGACATTCCGGCCACAAGTGGCTCGTGAGCAACTTCGTGTTATACCCGGTCTGTTGGACCGAATCTGCGCTGTTTTTGACATTGAGGTAAGAAATTCATTCTTAGAAATATTACTTGAGTTTTGAGTCTTCCGATCCAAACTTTTAGCCTTTAGATGCCTTTAGATGAATATTTCTCATCTTAATCAATATCAAAATTTCAGCATCGCGAAGAGGCGGAAAACTTCTCAGATTATGGAAGCGAAACAGAGGCGACACCGGAACAGCCACATGACAGCGGAACGAAACATCCGGAAAATGGCGATACTGGCGCGGAACACGGCGCGGCGGCCTCCGGAGAGGAAGCAGCTGGAGGATCGCGTCCTCAGCTTAGACCAAATTGTAAATGGAGAAAGCTTAATTCACTTGAGGAATTTTTCATTCTTCAATGACTTGTATTTTTCAGTTTTCAAAAAAATTTTTCCTAATTCTCAAAAATCTCCCCACCTCTGCATTCGTCTGTTCGAAATTTCGTTGATTTTTTTGAATTCTCGTATACTTTAAGTTTATTTTGTTCAATTGGTCGTTCATTTTTTGAAAAATTTTTTAGCAAGTTTCGTCGAAAGTATTCCAGCCTCAGCCTCGTGTGGTAGTATTCCTGTGGAGACTGAAGAGGATCGTCGTATCAACGCTGTTTTACACAATATGTGGCAACACATACAAACTTATACGATTCGTTTCACTAACAAGGTGTCACAATTTTGTTGGAGATCTTTCATGAANATTGTAGAAAATGGTCATTTTCCATGCATTTCGCTGAAATGAAAATTGTATTTTCCTGTGCAATGTTGAATACATTGACGTTAGCTGTTCGTCTTGTTCAAGGAACCCGACGAAAGTGACATGCCACTTTGGTATATGCCCGATGAATTTGGTGTGCGTATTGGACATAGCGCCGAGCCGAATTTCCGAATGGTACCAATGTTCTATAGTGCACAAGGTTGCGCATACAGTCTTCTGTTCCCGATTCGTGATGTGAAAACTGATGGTAAGTGGGAATCCGTGAAGAAATTTTTCATTTTCTGGAGAATTTTGTCAGTTTTCATTTTCGGCTCGATTGATTCAAATATTATTTCGATTCATTCCCGGATATTTTTATGCAGAATTGCAAAGTTCCTAACAAGCTGATATGGTTTTATGTCAGTGAAATAACAGTTGTGGTTTTAAGCGCTGATACGTTTGCGAGTTTTCAAGTCGATTGAATTCAGTCGCAATTTTAAAAGTTGATTTTTATATTGATAACGAAAAATTTCGTACAGAAGTGGTAACGCGAGACTATGTGGATAATATGGTGGTTCGAGAGCATCCCGAACTACGCACAGTGCTGATGCATCCTTGGGAGCTGACTGATCTTAGCAGCCAAAAACTTGAGCATGTAATACTGGATGAGAAATTCTTCACGGTTAGTAGTTGTTCGATTTAATGACGATTGGGTTACAATTACAATTTGTTTACAATCAGTTTCATTCACTCGTTGTTTTTTGATTAGAAGAGTGAAATATTCTGCAAATTTGTTCTGTTGAAATTTAAACCATTTCACTGCTGTTATCTCGGAATTCTGGATGCCATTTATATGAGCGCTGAAGAAGGAGAGAGGATAACGAGCCAAAATCTTTATCCGTAATAATAATAATAATAATAATAACAATCACAATATTTGGAGCAATCGTAATAATGTTTCGTAATAATATCCTTAGCAGCGAACGATATTGGTTAATATATGATGAAAAACATGATGTGATACGGATATTACATCAAATATGAGATATAGACATTACA